TCTGTTACTCAACCTGCCAAGTTTATCCGTAATCTTTTCACTTGCTATTCCCTTTCCTTAAAATATTCCCACAGATCTTGGCCTGGCTGGTACCTTCTTAGAATTTAGGTTTAATTTATATGTCTTATCTTCAGAGTAGCCTTCTGGTAACTATTTCATTACCTCATTTGATATTCACCATAGTATTCCTCATTTCCAGTTAGTTTTTGCTCATCACAATTAAGTTCACATCACCTTCAATACTATATTCCCAGGGCTTACTGCCTGATACACAGTAGGTATTCATTAAATGATGACTGAATAAATAAACAGATTTCTATTGCAACTATCCATATTTAGGCCACTAAGTTCAGGAGCTCTCATAGCTTAGTGCCTAAGGCACTTGACTGCTAACCAGAAGGCTGGCAGTTCAAACCCACCAGCCACTCCTCGGAAGGAAGATGGGGCAATCTACTTCCGTAGTGATACTGCCTCAAAAAACCCAAGAAGGGGTTGCCATGAGTTGGGTCTGACTCGATGGCACATAACAACAACAAACAACAAGTTGTATTATCCCATCAGTTTCCTTTGACTCTAATTCTGCCCTCCTTAAATCCATTTTGCACACTATAGCTTGAATCATCTTTGTAAAACTCCAATACAATGACCTCACTGCATTATTAAAAATGGAGCTATTACGTTTCGAGAAAGTTCTATCAGTGATATACAGGGCTTCAAACTGGTTCTTCCTGATTCAGTCATTGTTAATGCAGCAAAAACTGAAACAGACTCAAATTTGTACAACATGGGTGTACTGGAACAATAACCGGAACGGGAAAAAATACCAGTTGACGCCTTACTAGAAACTTAATCCCCCTCTTAGAAAATAAGGGCAGTGTGCACGTTGCATAGCAACCTAATCTCTTGATTTGCAGAGTCAGAAACAATAGTATCCTGCTCAAAGGCAACCATGCGTTGAATGTATGTCACTCTCCAGGCCTGGCAATAATCCAGTCTCCTGCATCAGTCTTCTGAAAGAGCTCATTATGCCTCATACTTTTTTCTGCTCTGGTTATCACTGCAATGTACCCACATTTTACAAATTTGGGTCTGTTCCGATTTCACTGAGTCAGCCGTGACTGAAGCAGTTTGAAGCCCTGGTAATTTAGAGGACGGAGTCCTTCACAATCTGGCCTGTCTACCATTCCTACTATATGCCCTCTCCCTGTCTAGTCTCCAGCCATGTTGAACTACTGTCAACATCTTGAACACTGTAGGCTGTCTTGACTCTTGAATCTACTGTACATTTCCTTTCTCCTACCATTTGCCAGTTCTTCTTCAGGCCGCCATTATCATCACTACCTCTAGAAAACCTTCCCTGATCTTCCAAGATTAGGTCAGGCTGCCTTTCCCATGTGCCCCCCACAGTAGTCTCTATCTTATGCATACAGTATGTGGCTTCTTGCTGATTTTGGATGTCCTGCCTACTTGCCTGTGCCCTTCTCAGGAGTGCGGGTTCCTTTTGGGCAAGACTTTATCTTGTTTGGGGTATTGCTATCACTGAACACAGTGCAGCTGGTACAGTGTAAGCATTTAATATATATTTACTCAATTTATTACATTGGAAAATTCAGAAGTCTTTGTAATTCCTTCCATACTTCCCATAGTTCAATTCATAGAACGGTTTCTCAACATATACCAAAACCCAAAGACACCGATCCCACTGCTATCGAGTCAATTCTGACTCACAGCAACTGTACAGGACAGATCAGAACTGCTCCATAGGGTTTTCAAGGAGTTCTGGTAGCATAGTGCCTAAGGCATTTGACTGCTAATCAGAAGGCTGGCAGTTCAAACTCACCAGCCACTCCTTGGAAGGAAGGTTGGCCAATCTACTTCCGTAGTGATAAAGAGGGGTCGCTATGAGTCAGATGTGACTTGACAGCAATGAGTATGGTTTATAGGGTTTTCAAGGCTGTAAATCTCTACAGAAGCAGACTGCTTCATCTTTCTCCTGCAGAGCGGCTGGTAGGTTAGAACTGTTGACCTTCTGGTTAGCATCCAAATGCTTTAACCACTGTGTCACCAGAGCTCCTTCAATATATATCCTAAGTAAAAATAATGTATAATGATTTTCTGAACATGGTGAGCTTTACACTGTTCTGATAGAAATTGATTTTGAGAGAAAAATAAGGATGCTCAGGTTTTTTGATGATAGGTATGTTTATTTAAGGATACTCACAAGGCCCCTAATAACTTTTAAATTAAAAAGCTACACTTACAGTTCATAATTAATTTAGGCGATCACTGTCAGAATAAATACTAGCTATATATTACTAACATTTAATTTCAACTATCTGCCTAGAGGGACACTTACTTTATTCAAAATACTTATGTGTCTTAATAAAGAGACATTAGATTGCTTATTTTAGGGAACCTATTTTAAGTACTCCATTTTAAAGAAATACAAAAATCAAAAAACAAACAAACAAAAAACACCCACTGCCATTGAGGGGATTCCAACTCATAGCAACCCAATGGGTTTCCAAGGAGGTAAATCTTTACAGAAGTAGATTGCCTCATCTTCCTCCCATGAAGCAACTAGTGGGTATGAATCACCAACATTGTGGTTAGGAGTCAAATGCCTTAGGCACTGTGCCACCAGAGCTTCTTAAAGAAATATAGGTGAATAAATTTTTCTTGACAATAAAAATCTACCATCACTGAAATAGAAAAATTACTATTCTTTGGTACCATGATAACTTGTATAAAGATATATACATGGACATAGTCAAAACTTTAAAGTAACACTAAAAAAACAAACCACCAAACCAGTTGCCATGAAGTTGATTCTGGCTCATGGCGATCCTATGTATGTTAGACTACAACTGTGCTCTATACAGTTTTCAATGGCTCGTTCTTTGGCAGTAGATGGTCAGACCTTTCTTTCAAGGCAGCTCTAGGTAGACTTGAACCTTGAACTTTTGGTTACAGCGAGCATGTTAACCATCTATACCACCTAGGAATACCATAAAGTAATACCACTGATTTTTAAAATAAACATAACAAAAGTTAGTAAATTGAATTTGTAATTCAAAGTTGTCTCCTTTGGAGACTCATTCCAATAATGGAACCAAAGTGCAAAATATCTTGGAAAGCTCTCCTTGGGACTGCCTTTGGATACTGCAGCAATTCTTTTGGATATTCTCATAGATGATACATTTTCAGTCTTTGAAGGTGAATTTTACCTTTGTAAGCAACAAAGTCATTAGAAGCCTTGGTTAGTAAATAAGGGCAAAGATGACATTTTAGATCAAAAACAAGATATAACACTGGCAACATACATGCTTCCTTGTTTAAGTGATACAGTAGTTCTGAAAACAGTGCCAGCAGGGATTCCAGAAATGTCAGGGACAGACAGACTAATAGACGGAGGGAGAAAAAAAGAAAATAAGGATACTGGTGTAAGAAGTCACAAGACTGTTTGAGATTCTGTTCAAAATAATGGCTACTTTCCCAAGAAAAACACATGCATATGTGTGGGTGAGCACCACACACCCCTGTAACCACAGAAAGTCATAAACACTGTGATGTCCTTCTATGGAGCCAGCACAAGAATTCAGGGTTTAGAACAGTGGGGGGACCAGGTTTGCTGGCCCAATAGAGCCAGGAGGAACCACTGAGACTACGGCCCCTGGCTGCCCTTTAGGTCTGGAATTGAACCCACACCTGTGGTTTCCAGCCAAACAAAAGAAAGGCATACGAGTTGAACATTTACCTGAGGTAGATACACTCCTTGGAGAGAACAATCATGGGAGAAAGAAGGGCTGCTTATGCACAGGGAGACAGCTCAGGGGGCAGGAGCGCATGGAGGGATGGACACAGGGAAGAGGTAACTATGAGGAGGAAGTGGGAGGGGAGCTGTTGCATTGTGGTAAACTGTGGTCAATGTCATGAGACAAAGTATATGTGAACCGCTGTATGGAAAGTGTATTTGCTCTGTAAACTTTCATCCAAATCACAAATAAAAAAAAAAAATTCATGGTTTAGAACAGTGGCTTTTGATTTTTTTTCTTTTATACTGCAACCCATAGTAAAAAAAATACATTGTACATTGTGACTCAGTCTACACAAACCTGTTGTTGTTGTGTGCTATTGATTCTGACTCAGAGACCCTATGGGGTTTCCTAGGAGCCTTGGTGGGGCAGTGGTTAAGCGCTCAGCTGCTAACTGAAAGGTTGGTGGTTTGAACCTACCACCCACTTTGTGGGAGAAAGATGTGGCAGTCTGCTCCAGTAAAGATTTACAACCTTGGAAACTCTGTGAGGCAGCTCTACTCTGTCCTATAGGGTCACTATGAGTTGGAATCAATGGCAGTGGGTTTTGGTTTTAATCTTTATGGGAGCAGAACGTCAGGTCTCTTCTCCTACAGAGCTGCTGGTGGGTTTGAACCACAGACGCCTTGGTTAGTAGATAAGAGCTAACCACTGCACTACCATGACTCATTTCACAAAACATTTTCAACTCTACTTTAAGTGTCATATTTTCTCTTCTATTTGATTTCATTAAAAACATTAACTTGTGACCTACTATAGAAGCTCTGGGGGTGTAGTGGGTAAGGCATTTGGGTGCTAACCAGATGGTTAATAGTTCAAACCCACCAGCTGCTCAATAGGAGGAAGATGAGGCAATTTACCTCCATAAAAATTTATAGCTTTGGAAACCCAATGGGGATCGCTGTCAGTTGGAATTCACTCAATGGCAGTGGGCTTGGTTTGGTGACCTACCGTACCAATTTCACAATCTACAGTTTGAAAGATACTGGTTTAGAGTAATTGATATATTAGAGTATGTTAATAAAAAAGAAAAGACTCACTGGATTATAAAAATTCTGATATGCTACTTTAAAATAGTAAGACTGGATTCTTTATGGGAAAATTGCATTGTCTTCATTCATCTGTGTGGATAACAACTGGAGGTACTGATAAGTAAATCATATAATGGTCATAGAAAGCCCATACCTTAATGTTAGAAAACCACAAATCATTTTCATGTAAAGTGGCAAGGTAGATAGATGTAAGCAGTCCAATACAAAGGGCAATAGTTCCACCAGTTGTAAACGACAGAATCTTCCATAGTCTTCTAGTGGTACAACCTTTTAAAAAATGGAACAGATAAAGAACAAGTTAGTAAAGGATTTATTTAGGATTCAATAATTCTACTTCAGACTAGGAAGTATGCAATGTTCCATTTATCTGTCATTGGTGTAGGTTTCTCTGTCCCCAGCAGTTCTGGTAGCATAGTGCTTAAGGCATTTGACTGCTGACCAGAAGGCTGGCAGTTCAAACCCACCAGCCACTCCTTGGAAAGCAAACTGGGCAATCTACTTCCATAGAGAGAGTACCTCGGAAACCCAAGGAGGGGTCGCTATGAGTCAGAATCAACCTTGATGGCAATGAGTTTTTTTTTTGTTTGTTTGTTTCTCTGTCCCCAAGACAGGGTCTCCTTTTGATTCCACAGATCACATTTTTCTTAATTTTATTAGTTTTCACTCCACTGTATCTAATTGTCCACTTGTTCATTGTGCCAACCAGAAAGTACACCTTTTGAAAAGTATTGTATATCACTCATCTTAAATACTTAGGGTCTACATGTAGCATCAAAATTAGGAGTTTAACTATGAAGTATGTTAGCAGGAAGAAGAAATAAAATATGTAGGATGTAAATTGCCTTTTAGATTATCTATTTACAATTTGCAGTTTACTCATAAAAGCTACTGAAAAACTTATTACTTAATTAAAAAAAAAAAAAAGTAGCTCTGGTGGCATAGTGCCTAAGGCATTTGACTGCTAACCAGAAGGCTGGTGGTTCAAACCCAACCAACAGCCCCTCTTCGGAAGGAAGGTTGGGCAATCCCACTTCTGTAGTGATACTGCCTCAGAAACTCAAGGAGGGGATGCTATGAGTCGGGACCAACTCAACAGCATATAACAACAACAACAATTAAAAAAAAATCTATCACAACTCAAGGGAGATACAAACTAGGAAAAATATGTATAATACACATAGAAAACCAAAAATCAAACTCATTACTGTCAAATTGGATCAGACTCATAGTGATCCCTCTGTGGGTTTCCGAGGTGGTAACTGCAGAAGTAGACTGCCCAGTCTTCCTTCTGAGGAGTGGCTGGTGGTTTTGAACTGCCAGCCTTCTGGTTAGCAGTCACATGCCTGAGGCACTGTGTCAACAGAGCTCCCATAGTACACATAAGAAAACTTAAATATCCTTGACATACGAGGAATATTTTCAGGACAATAAAAAAAAAGATGAATATTCCAGCAGGAAAATAATTAAGGACATCAACAGGCAATGCATCACAGAAAAAAAGGCCAGTAAACAGGATACACAAAAGAAAAATGTTCCTATTCATTAGTGTTAAGGAAAAGCAAAGTAAAAACAATGAGGCATAATTTTTAAAATAGCAGTCAATTTGAAGGAGCCCTGGTGGCACAGTGATTAAAGTGTTCAGCTGCGAACCAAACGGTCGGCAGTTTGAACCCACCAGCCACTCCGTGGGAAAAAGATGTGGCAGTCTGCTTCCATAGATATGTACAGCCTTACAAATCCTATAGGACAGTTTTACTCTGAGTCACTATGGACTGGACAGTAGTGGGTTTGGCTTAGTTGGACAATTTGATAGCTTAACATGCTAATACTTTGTTTTGATAATGGGTAAAAAAAGAAAAAAAAAACAGCTTTCAAATGATGCTGGAATAATAAAATGGTACCTCTCTGGAAGGCAACGTGGTAGTAGTGAGTAAAAGCCACCCAAATGAACACACTACATTACCAGCAATCCCAAATCCAGATATATATCCCCAAGAAAATAATTAAAGTTTTAAGCAAACATTTGGCCACTGCATATTTATCACAGAGCTCTGGTAGCGTAACGCCTAAGGCACTTGACTGCTAACCAGAAGGCTAGCGGTTCAAACCCACTAGCCACTCCTCAGAAGGTTGGGCAATCTACCACCTTAGTGATATCGCCTGGGAAACCCAAGGAGGGGTCGCTATTGTCAGATCTGACTCCACGGCAGTGGTTTTTGTTTTAGAAAAAGGTTAGAAAACTACCTAAATATTGAGTAACAAGGAGTTAGTTAAATCAGTTATGCTATAGCCACACAATACTATGTAGTCACCACCAAACATCATCTGTCAGTTTGTTGTATTTGGTGGCTTATGTGTTGTTGTGATGCTAGAAGCTATGCCACTGGTATTTCAAATACCAGCAGGGTCACCTTGCTGGATGGGTTTCAGTGGAGCTTTGACACTAAGTCAGTGTAAGAAGAAAGGCCTGGTGATCTACTTTTGAAAAGAAGCCACTGAAAACATATGGATCAGAACACAACGCTGTGCAACTCACTTGCTCTGATCATGTCATCAGGAGGAATCAATCGCTACAAGAGGGCACCATGCTTGGTGAAGCAGAGGGGCAGCAAACTTAAGAGAGACAATGTATTCTTTGCCAACACTGTTACTCAAAGGTATCAATTCTTTGGTCTTCCTTAATCACTGTCCAGATTTCACATGCACAAGGCAACTGAAAATACCATGGCTTGGGTTAGTCTCACCTTACTCTTCAAAGTGACATCTTGCTCCTTAACACTATAAAGAGGCTTTCTGTAGATTTGCCCAGTGCAATATGATGTCTGATTTCCTGAGGTGGGATATAACACCCTTAGTCTCATCACAGCCCTGATCTAATGTAAGGGGAGTTTTTCTAGGGTGTGGCCTGCAATACCTTTTATCTTACAAGAGACCAAAGGAGAGAGAAGGAGGAGGGGTTTTACTGCCAGCAGTAAAGAGCTAGAAGCACAGTTTATCCTGGTACCCAGGGCACCTGCACTGGGATCCTCCTAGGATCAAGAGACACAGCAAGAAAGCCTTCCCCTAGAGCCGGCGCTCTGAATTCAGACTTTTAGCCTCCTAAACTAAGAAAGGGAGCTCTGGTAGCATAGTGGCTAAGACACTTGCCTGCTAACCAGAGGGCTGGCGGTTCAAACCCACCAGCCACTCCTCAGAAGGAAGGTTGGGCAATCTACTTCCATAGTGATAACACCTCGGAAACCCAAGAAGGGGTCGCTATGAGTCGGTCCAACTCCACGGCACATAACAACAACAACAAACTATGGAACTAGCTCTGGTAGCATAGTGCCTAAGGCACTTGACTGCTAACCAGAAGGCTGGCGGTTCAAACCCATCAGCTACTCCTCGGAAGGAAGGTTGGGCAATCTATTTCCGTAGTGATACTGCCTTGGAAAACCCAGGCGGGGTCGCTGCAAGTCGGATCTGAATTGACGGCAGTGCGTCTGGTTTTCTGGTTGGTTAAACTATGAAAGAATAAATCACCCTTCCCGTTCTCTCCTACGCCTCTGTGCTGGTAGCTGAGAAGGACCAGGTAACTCTGTTGGTTAAAGCCATCCACTTGTGGTATTTCTGTTACAGTAGCACCAGATAAGACAGATGAATCTTTTGCAGTTCCTTTTCCTTCCATTTTTGTTTTCCTCAGTTTTATAGAATGCCATTAACAAAACTCAGATACCTTGAGATAAAGCAGTATTTAAGTTCTTCAAAATCAGGCTACCAACAAATTTGCTACTGAATACCTCCCATGTGGCCAGTTCTGTGGGAGATGCAGAATGCAGAAGGCCTAATCCTCTTAATCCTCTCACATCTTATCACATCATGGGGAGTCATGACAGATCTGCCCCATTACATCATTCCATGACTGCGAAACCACTGAGAATCCTGGCCCAGCCAAGCTGACACAAATTTTTCAGGATGTAATTTAATTAATGATACCATCCATCATGAGACAACCACCAGTGACACTGATTATTTTTCTATCCAAATGCTGCTTGTGCTCTGCACAAGTATTCATATGTAATTTTACAAAATTGGGGTCCTACACAATTTTGTAATTAGCTATTTTTTTCTTATTGTACTAGAAAATAATTAGTCAGTAGATACATTTTTAAATTTTTTATTGTGATACAAATGTATACAGCATAACATTTGCCATTTCAACATTTTTTGCATGAATAATTCAGTGACATTATGTTTATCATATTGTTTTTAGTTTTTTTGATGTGAATAAATATTGTTTTGAACAACCCTCAAAGTTATGCTTTACTTTAAAAGAAAACAAACTTGAACTTGCACTGTATAAGCTCTTCTGTGGTACTCTATATTGCCTAAATACATTACTCATTACTGCTAACAGCTGAGGTGGATGGCATTACCTCCCACTGCCCCATACTGATCACTTTTATTAAACTGTTTCCCCAAGTTACTTTACTAACTCTGGCTGATAAGAACTAACATGGCTGCAATTGATATAAATTCTGTCAGATATCCAAAATGGGTGATGGATATAAAAATTTTCAGACTTATTTTAGTGTAGTGCCTAAGGCGCTTGACTGCTAACCAGAAGGCTGGTGGTTTAAACCCACCAGCCACTCCTCAGAAGGAAGGCTGGGCAATTACTTCTGTAGTGATACTGCCTCAGAAACCCAAGGAGGGGTCGCTATGAGTAAGGTCCGACTCAATGGCACATAACAACAACAACAACAATTTTTTAAAATCCTCACAGGGAGCGCTGATAGTGTATGTGTAAGGCGTTTGGTTGCTAACCAGAGGGTGGCAGTTCAAACCCACCAGCGTTCTGTGGGCAGATGAGACAATCTACTTTGGTAAAGATTTGCAGCCTTGGTGGGAGAACAATGTGGAACAAAACTCAAAAATCATAGAAAAAAAAGGGGACCTGATAGATCCTGGTAGAACCCTGAGACTATGGCCCCTGGCTGCCCTTCAGGTCTGGAATTGAACCCACTCCTGTGGCTTCCAGACAATCAAGACAGGCATACGAGCTGAACATTTACATTAGGTAGATGCACTCCTTGGAGAGATCAATCATGGAGAATAGAAGGGCAGTGTACGCACAGGAGACAGCTCAGGGGTCAGGAGTGCATGTGAGGGAAGGACACAGGGAAGAGGTAACTATGGGGAGGATGTGAGTGGTGAGCTGTTGCATTGTGGGAAATTGCAGTCAATGTCATGAGACAAAGTATATGTGAAGTGCTGCCTGGAAAATGAACTGATCACTTTTATTAAACTTTTACTTTTTGCCTTTTGCTCTGTAAACTTTCACCCAAATCACAATAAAAATTAAAAAAAAAAAAAAAAAAAGATTTGCAAGTCTTGGAAACCCAGTGAGGTTTGCTATGAGTCAGAATTGACTCGACGACAGTGGAATTAATTTTCGGTTTTGGTTTATGCTTAGTTAAGAAAGCAATTCAGGAGGTAAGAAGTTAATTATTAACAGTATTTTCATTATTATGTAAACAATTTACCAAATTCTGACTACTTTTCTTGCCAAAATAAAGGAGAAAATTTCAGGAATTTGAAAGTAATGAAAAATTGATTCATCTTTGAACACCTGAACAAAAAATTCACTCGAGGTAAGGCTACCTAATATGAACAGTGTATATATGCAAGAAAAATGAGAATAGATGAAAATCTGAATAGCCAGGAAAAGCATTAACCTAGAGTAAAAGGTCAGATTGGCATAACCATAAACTATTTACCAGACAACTGAGTAACAAGGGGTTCTAATCAAAGCTCTCTTATCTTTCATCTAATCGTAACTGTAAAAACCAAAATAATCAAATTGCAATCAAATCAACTGCAAACCCAAAACATTAAGGCACTCGATCAAAGATTCCTCAACTATTAGGATTCACTGAATTTTTATTCTATTGGTGAGAGATATTTTAATGCACAGAAATAAAAACAATCCCAAATGTTGCTTTAGTTTAAGTCACATACCAGATGACAATTTATTTTCCAACTTCACATTTTCTTCTGATGCTGGGTAATTCTCAGAAATTTCTGTGGTTTTTATTCCTTTTCTTTGCCGGATGGACATCATGTCAAAGACTTAAATGCATTGTTCTTCCAACTACTCCTACAAGCAACACAGAAATAATTGGTCCATGATATGGCAGCATCCTCACTCCCCAACATTCCACCTCCGCGCTCATCTGTGCTGGACTTTATTTGTGCCATTTTCTTTTGCTAAGCATGTCTTCCCGTTTTCTCATCCAAATCTTAGCCAGTCTTTAAAGTTAAGTTCAAGACATAACACAAATATTTAACACAAACGTTATGAAGCAAGTGCCTGCTATGGCACTACCAGTAGTTAGTAATACAGGTAGCAACAGGGACAAGCACCCCCTCCCCTTATCCTAGTAAGCAAATTCCCTAGATGCTCTATTTCCTGCACTTCATGTTCCTCTCTGAACAACAGCAGTTACTATGCATTTTTATGCAATTTGTTGCATAATTTTATAGTTTTAGGGAACTGTCACAGTTCTAAAGACAACAGTAGGTTTTCTTCATTCTGCGTCTCCCACAGAACTGACCACATGGGAGATACTCAATAGAAAATTTGTTGGTAGCCTAATTTTGAAGAACTTAAATACTGCTTTGTCTCAAGTATCTCAGTTTTACTGGCAGTGTTCTAGAAAACAATTCACACTGAAAGCCTAAAGAAACGTCTCAGTGGTGATGACTGGGGGTGGGGGGGTGCAGTGGGGCGGGGGGCCAATCAGGCAGCAGCAATCCCAGGGATCAACAGTGGGAGTAACCAGCAGGGAGCCGGAGCCTTGTTTGGAAGTGGCGAGTGGGAGGCGGGGGAGTGGTGGCAGTGAGTTAGCTGGTTACAGTCCTCAGGAACATCTTGCTTCGCTTCACTGAATAATGAACAGCGTTTTACCAACTATTTATTAAATACAGACCTGTAGCCTGACACGATTGTTTGGGCAGTTTATTACTAAAAGTAAACGCTTCTATCTATAGAAAAGAACAAGCAAATCAACTCTATACAATCCATTCGTTCATTCAAACAAAAAATGTGGGAAAGAAATGACTTCAGTACAAGGTGCTACTATGCCTGCAAGCAATGAAAACGGCGAATGCAGAGCAGTGAAGGAAAAAAGAAGTGTTAGCAAGGCGGATGGGAAAGATGGGCTTATCCACAAATCACTTATTTGTGGACATATGTATGCCCTTTCTAAAGGGGAGAGGAGTTTTAAAAACCACATGTCATACACACCTATCGGGTAACAAATATTTAAGTGCCAATTACGTGCCACGCATGACAATCCAATTAACTATGGGGAAAAACTTCCTCCTTCAAACGAAAAGGAATGCCACCTTTAATGTTTCAAAAGAGCGAAAAGCAATCCTTATAATAAGAACGACTGCACCGTTCTGAGCATCTCCTCGACGCCGCAGGGCACTTTACTTAGCTTACCACCTCACCACAACTACAGCATCTGGTATCCTCATCAGTTTCTTGGGGACTGGCAGGCACCTGAGAAGTGCAGTCCCCTGCTACAGGTCACCCAGTTATCAAGTAGCCCCGCAGAGGTCCAAGACCTGGCTGGCCCTCTCTACCAAGAAGTCGTCTGAGAACGCAGCACTGCAATTCTGCAAACTTCCTCATTCACCAGTTCGAGCCCCTAACCCTGCGTTTTGCAGCTGACATTTGTGTGCTAGGTCTCACACCGGACTCTCCAAGTCCCGGTACCCACGCCGCCCCGACTGCGCTACGCGACGGGACAGTCGGGCGGGACTTTTGGTCGCCGTCGCGGATTCCGCGAACCACCACTAGGCAGGACACAGAAGAGGCCCGCCCGCCCAGCGGGACCTCAGGGCCCCGTTGCGGAACCCTTGCGCCCGCACGTCCACTCACGCTGCCCGTGGCCCGAGGCGCAGCCACAGACCTGCGGCCGCTCAGCCGTCTTCACGCGTGGCTCCCGGGCAGAGGAGAATGGCTGGCAAGGAGGCAGCAAGGGCCGCGGGAGACGAGACCTTACTCTCCGCTCTTCCCGCGCCGCACAACAGCTTCCAACCTGCTTCGGGGAAAGGGAAAACCAGGCACCCACTGAGCTTTGTGCAACACGGTGCAATGGGGGTTGGGGGGCGTCAGCAGCCCCAGGGAAGGGGCGCGCCAGGGAGGCAGGGCCGCTGTGGCCGCATCCATAGGTCCCGGGAGCCGTCCGTCAATACGAGCCCCCGCCCCCTTCCAGGGCGCCCCTCCCTGTCTCGTGAGGCGCCAGCCGGAAGGAAGCGCTGCACTTCCGCTGGTGGAACTCTGGCTGACATCGGTCTGCTTCACGATCAACTTGTGGGATTACTACTGGAGTGACCTGGCTGCTACCGCTGTCCTCTCGGCTCGGAGGCTTTCTGTGGCCACGCAGAAGCCCGTTATCCCGAAGCCAGAGCAAGCAATGGGGCTGTAGGAAGGATTGGCTCAGGTCGGAAGGCGGGGAGGCTGGATCTTAGTGCGGCCCCGAGGGTTTGAAAGTAGGCGGGCCTAGGAGCCACTGAGGAGCCTAGTGCCTAAGGCACTTGAATGCTAACTAGAAGGCTGGTGGTTCAAACCCACCAGTCACTCCTCGGAAGGAAGGTTGGGCAGCCTACTTCGGTAGTGATACTGCCTCGGAAACCCAAGGAGGGGTTGCCATGAGTCGGGTCTGACTCGATGGCACAAAACAACAGGAGCCACTGAAGGTCTGCGGCTGAGGTGGTGGTGGTGGGTGATCTGTTCCTTCCCCCCCCCCAAAAAAAAAATGGTCGCTATGAGTTGGGGAACGACTCAATGATAGTTTTTTCTTCGGGGAAAAAAAAAAAAAAGCCCCAGTGACCTAAAGGCAAGGCACTGTCCTTACAGTACTAACACTCATGATCATTTCTTCCTTCCCTGATAATGGACTCCCCGAGTTCCGCAAACCTACCTTTCTGGTATTCCTTTTCAGTACCCTTTGCAACCTCCACTAGACTGATTGGTTCCAACTTAAAGTTACTTCATCAGGGGAGGCTTTCCAGTCACTTCAGCTGGGTAATTTTTTCCTTTGTTTGTTGGGTTTAATAAGCAGCACACATTCTGAGAAAATAGATTGGGGCTATTAGTTGGCTGTAATAAAAGCAAATGTAAGCTGTTTTTACAGGTGGTATCTGTCCTGTTTCAGCATTGGCTGTTGGTGTCTTTTAATCCTTTCATGTTATGGTCTTGAGGGCAGGAACTTTTTTTTTAAATGTTCAGATACCTTAATGTAAGATATATTTTAGTGCCTTATAAATAACGTAAGTGAATCGATACCTTAAGTAGCATTTTTTTTAAATTTCTTATAGGGATTTTTCCCTAATGAATTGTCTCACTCTGGGAGAAATCACAATTGTGAAAAATGCAGTCCTTGAATAAAGGAAATAATCAGTGGCAGTTGCTTATTTTGCTTTAATATTATGAAACTGATTTACACAGTAAGATGCTTTCAGACTTACAAGAAATAGGAACGCACTGCTGAGAGTAAGTCTTGGGAATGAATGTCAGTCTAGTTCTGATACAGCAAATGAACAGGGAAGGGGCGAAAGTGGAGTGTGATGGTTAATGAAGAGTAAGGCCCTGCCTCTCATGTCCATATAAGCAAGAATTCAAGAAAAGGCCAAAGAAGAATGAGTTTTGGGTATGAACTGTGACTACAGTGGTATCAAGGAGTATGTGTTTGTTTGCATGATGTTTTGAGGCCTAAGAGGACTCACTGGTTGTTGGCGCCAGCGATAAAGCCACAGACCTCTAGAACAGTACAGCTCAAAGTGTGGTCTGGGGACCTACATCAGTACTAATGCAGTCCCCTGGGACCTTCAGCTTCAGTTCTACTTGCTCATGGCCCACTGAAGCTGGAGCCTTCTTTTAAGTCACAGTTGCCTGGCTGCTGAGGCTGACAAACCCAAGGTCAACAAAATGGCTCAGTCCCAAAATAAGCAACATGTTAGGCCACACTCACTGATGACTCAGCCAGATGCAGGATCCAGATGTGCCGAGCAGCTCAGAGACCTTTCTCAAAGCTGTCTTATATATTGGAAGCAGACCAAATCCTTAAGGCAGTTACTCAGCTGCTCTAGTAGATTCCACCATGGAGTTGATCACCAGTCTCTTTATGGGGAGTAACTATATCCAGCTGCCCAGCTAAGTTGACACACAACTACCACACCTGGTATTCACACACTTTCAGAGTCATGGGTGTTCTGTGACCAGCAGAATACTGTGGAAGTGACTGTGGGACTTCTGAGATTAGGTTGTAAAAGACACCAGTTTCAGCTTAACCTCTCTTGGATTACTCACTTAGGGGGAAGCCACGCACAATGTATGAGGATATTCAGTCAGCCTGTGGAGAAGTCTGTGTAGGGGACGAGGGAGGGCCTCTAACCATCAGTACCACCTTGCCAGCCATGTAGGCAAGCCACCCTGGAAGTACATCCACCAGTTCCAGGCCAGCCTTTAGGTGACTCTCACCTCATGAGAGATTCTGAGCCAGAAATGCCCATATGCACAGAAACTATGATAATAAATACTTACTGTTGCTTTAAGCCACTAAGTTTTGAGGTAATTTTGATCTATGATAGATAACTAATATAATTAGTCCACTATATGATGTATCATAATTTAACTGTTCTCCTCTAGCTGTACATTTAGGTTGTCTATAGTTTTATGCTGTCACAAGCAATGCCACGGAGAACATCTTTATACTTATGTAAATTCTTGAAGATATAGTCCTTGAAATACAACTCATTCTGAATTGTGATAACTATTGGCAAAATTAAAAATTATATTACTTTACACTTCTGTTGTTGTTGTTGTTGTTATGTGCCGTCAAGTCGGCCCCGACTCATAGCCATCCCTCCTTGGGTTTCCGAGGCAG